GTATCCCTGCCAAAGGTTCTTCGACATTGACTTTATTTGTTGTTCTCTCTGTAGAGAGGGGGGTTCCCTTTTCTATTGGGTATTTCCATGCCCATTATTTTCTTTTCCTTTTTTTTGCTCGCTGTAACAGAAGGGACTTGGGTGGGTTCCTTTGGCTCATTGAAAGTTTTTTGTGCGTTTTTATTACTTTCAGTTGAAAGTTGTTGTTTTTTGTACTTTTGGGGCAAAGAAAACTTTAATGCTGGAATAATTTCCATGAACGTGGAATGCAAAAGTGCAACTGAAATTGTGTGGGTTGATTGGGAAGTATTATATTGAAGGGATTCCAATACCATTGTGTTATTAATAGAGTGGTTAGGAATGGTTAGTATGGTAAAGGATTAAAAGTAGATTAAAATGGGCCTTGAAGAGGAAGGAAATTCCTTTTAAATGAAATTTATTTAAATGTTGGGAATTAGTTGGTGGTTTAGTTACAATTTTAAAATATTTTTCAGATATAAAGTGGCATTCAGTTACTTAGAAAAATTGTTTGCCATAAAGTAATAATTATTTTCAGGCAGAACCAAAGGAATCGCAATGAAAATGTTCCTCTTTTTTGGTTAAAAATTAACTTCATTTAACTTTCATTTAACTTTAAAATATTTAGAAATATTATAAAAGTTTAGTCATTCATTTAAACAAATTGTTTGCCATAAAGAAGTCAATTTGTTCAATCAAAACCCCTTTTCCATGCTTAAAATTCAGCGCCAGGGAGCTGTTTAGCCCTCAATCTATTTATTTTAGCCTCTTTTAAAGCCCATTCCGTGAGCATTTAATAAAAACATATTTGCACCATTATTCAGTTATGCTAGTTATGCTCTCCAAATTGCTTTATTTCAACATTTTGTTAATTAAAAACTATATAAATACAGAACTTTATGCGCGTTCTGTGCCCACTCCAAAAAGTTTCCTTGCAGTTGTGACAAATGCAATTAAAATTGTAATTGAAATTTAATTATGTCGCCAACAAGTGGCGTGCCCTGCCACACACGCTGCATGTTGTATGTGCAACATGTGCATAGATTAAGTCCCACACTCACGGATAAGTTCTCACACTCATGCATCCGAGACCCTAATCAGTCAAAGAAATCTGAGCATCTGACAGATGCAAATCAAGTGCAACAGCTTGCTTTGATGCTTTGATGCTTTGATGCCTTGATGTGCCTCATTTGGCGGGAAGTCTTACAGCACCCACTCCAGGGCATTTGCTTTCAGTCATCCAGTGAGGGTTTATCGCACTTTACACTCATTTGCTCGAGTGTTTGCCAATTGCATGCTGTTTTGCATGCGATAAAGTAGCAACACGAGGAGAGTAACCCAAGCAGACAATTCAATCACGGGCCAAGAGAAAGGAACAACAATTGCAAAAAAAATAAACCCAAAAGTGTCACAATAGAACCACACAATAAGCACCCAAAGGGGAACCTTGAGAGTAGAGTAGAGAGGTGCTGAAAGTATCTGCATATAAGGGCAAGGAATATCACTAAAGAATGAAGGTGCAATTTAAGCAAAACTTCACGAATGTTAGAGACATTATGTCTCCATATAAGAGACTATTTTAGTGACTTTTTCGACTCAATATATTCAAGATGCTACAGATGATGCATCTTACATCCGTTGTGTAACATTCCTAATTCCCCAATCGTGTGTATAAAACTTAAGTAAGTATTTTTCACTCAGTTGAGAACTTCAATCTCTACTTAAACACACGCAAAAGAAATGCCAACACAAGTTTTCATGGAACACAGCTCCTCCCCCTAGGTCCCTACCCAACACCCTAATGTTCCAACAAAAGGGGAAAACAGCAACAAAAGTAAGACAATTCCCGTGGAGGGACCAAAGCCAAGTCGCAGTCAACGGCGACAGCGACATGCACAATCCAGAGAGTTTTGCATTCAGAGTAGCTTCAACTAGACAAAGGTAGAGGAAAGAGGAAGGATATATAAAGGGAATCCTGGGCGTGCAATCCTGGATTGCTTTTAAGCTCTTGTCGCTTGTGGCACACTCGAGACTCACTCGAGAAGGAAGGAGTGCCACTGCAGCACTCGACTCGTCGCGACAATTAGAAGTCAATGGGCTAATACAATTTGATCTAACTCTTCCTCCTTCTTCCCCCTCAGCCGTATGAGATGTACCAATGGACACACACGGAACAGCCAACAACATCGCTGCCCCTCACACCCGGCAAACTGGATAAGGTCGCCTCTTGGCCCTTCTCGAGCACACCAGCGGGCCAGCGTACCTTGGAGGCATCTTCGCTGGCAACAGCTGGAGCAGCAGTGGCCACAGGAGCAGTGGCAGCGGGAGGAGCAGCAGCTGCAGCGGCAACAACGGCCACGCCCGCAGCCAGCGACCAACAAAAGACTTTGCAGCAAATCCTCAAGAAGCGACTCCTCAACTGCGCCACGCTGGCCGAGGTGCATGCGGTGGTCAATGAGCTGCTGAGCAGCGTGGATGAGCCACCGCGACGTCCCTCCCGACGTTGCGTCAATCTCACGGAGCTGCTCAATGCCAGCGAGGCGACAATTTACGAGTACAACAGGCCGCAGGAGAGCAAAAGCTATGCGGATGTCGAGACGCAAACGGAGGGGGAAGCTGAATGTCAGGGCACGTGTCGCTGTGGTGCAGCGGCAGAGGGTGCACCCGCACCACCGCCTGCACCAGCGTTAGCTGCTCCGCCTGCTCCACCGCCACCTCCACCGCCGCCTGCTTTTGCTGGTGCACCACCACCGCCGCCGCCTCCGCCCATGCCTCCGGGCAGTGGTGCAGCTCCACCCCCGCCTCCACCTATGCCAGGAAGTGGAGCACCTCCGCCTCCGCCCATGCCTGGCAGTGGCGCACCTCCGCCGCCGCCTCCGCCTGGATTTGGAGGCCCACCGCCGCCCCCCATGCCTGGACCTGCTGCTGGTGCGCCGCCACCACCGCCGCCATCCATGATCTCACCTGCGCCGCTGCCCGATCCCGCTGAGGGCAATTGGTTTCATCGCACAAACAGTAAGCGCAGCACTCATCCCCCCCTGGCTATCATTTTCACTCCTTCCCTCTGTTGCAGCGCTGCGTAAAAGTGCCGTTAACCCGCCAAAGCCCATGCGTCCGCTTTATTGGACGCGCATTGTGACAATGGCGCCGCCCGTGCCGCGTCCCTCCTCGATAGCAAATTCGACAGACAGCACAGACAATGCGGAGATCTGCGGCAGCTCGCCCGATGAAGCGCCCACAACGAGCGCCAGTGGCAGTGGCGCCTCCACGCCGGGAGCCACGGCGCCTCCAGCAGTGGCACTCCCAGCCGCACCTGTTGTGCCTCCACCCACAAAGGAGATCTGGACGGAGATTGAGGAGACGCCGCTGGACAACATTGAGGAGTTTACGGAGCTCTTCTCGCGCCAGGCCATTGTGCCGGTGAACAAGCCGAAGGAGGTGAAGATGAAGCGAGCCAAATCCATCAAGGTGCTCGATCCGGAGCGCTCCCGCAAGGTGGGCATCATCTCACGCAGCCTGCACGTGCCCACCAGCGAGATCGAGCATGCCATTTACAATCTGGACACATCGGTGGTGAGCCTCGAGGCGCTGCAGCATTTTGGACACATCAAGGCCAGCGACGAGGAGCTGCACAAGATCAAGGATGCGGCGGGCGGGGAAATACCGCTGGATACACCCGAGCAGTTTCTGCTGGACATCTCACTCATCTCGATGGCCAGCGAGCGCATCTCGTGCATTGTGTTCCAGGCCGAGTTCGAGGAGTCGCTGACGCAGCAGCTGCGAAAACTGGAGACGATACAGCAGCTGTCGCAGCAGCTAATCGACAGCGAGGATCTCAAATTGGTTTTCTCCATCATCCTAACGCTGGGCAACTACATGAACGGTGGCAACCGGCAGCGGGGCCAAGCGGATGGCTTCAAGCTGGACATACTTGGCAAATTGAAGGATGTCAAGTCCAAGGAGCGGCAGACCACGCTCCTCCACTTCATTGTGCGCACGTACATAGCGCAGCGGCGGAAGGAGGGTGTCCATCCGCTGGACATACGTCTGCCCATACCCGAGCCAGCGGACGTGGAGCGTGCCGCACAGATCAAGTTTGAGGATGTGGAGAAGCACATCAATGAGCTGAAAAAGAAATTTATGGGTGAGTTCCCAGATCCTTCTCCTGCTTGCTGCTTCCTTTATTAAGTCTGTCTTTTAGTCTTCAAGCGCACCACGGCCAAGGTGCTGGCTGCCTCCAGTGAGGACATAATGGAACCCTTCAAGTCCAAAATGGAGGAATTCACGGACAGTGCGGACACGGCGATGGCCAAGCTGGATCGCATGCTGGAGGATGGCCGGGAGCTGTTTCTGGAGACAATGCGCTTCTATCATTACTCGCCGGAGACACAAACGCTCGAGGATTGCACGCCCGATCAGTTCTTTGAGTGCTGGACACATTTCACCAATGACTTTAAGGACATTTGGCGCAAGGAGATTGAGAATCTTATAAATGAATTGTGAGCGCAAATCATTGAAGCTGTTTGGCCCGTTAATTATTGTTTATGGTGTTTATTTACAGGAAAAAGAAATCAAAACAAGTGCAAATCGAGCCCCGACGCAATGTATCCACGAAGGTGGAAAAGAATGGGCGGCTCTCGCTCAAGGAGCGAATGGTGATGCGACGCAGCAAAAATTAATTCTAGCTGCGCTTCTAATAGATAGACAGATATAGATAGATACTTTTGCTAAGCAAAGTTCTCGTTCATCGCTTATTGTTAAGTTATATTTTAATATTAAACTAAACAAAAGAAATATCACACAAGAATAATGAATTTCAATTCGAATCAGCCGCCACAAGTTGGACTTTTACAACATTGAAGTCAGCATGTCTGGCAGCCCGGCATTTTTGAAAATTATATGGTATAATTTGGTATATATTTACAGTATATTATGAAAATGAAAGGGTACATTTTCGTATATTTCCGACTGTCTGTCGGTATATTTTATCGATAACTCCGCAGTCACACTGCTTACACCAAAACAGCTGAAATTTGGAAATTTTCTTTCAAATTCCTTTCAATATTAAAATAGCCTTAACATGTCTATTGCCAAACGTGTGCAGGTACGTACCAGCAGGACTGTTCAGGAACAGAGCCTAATAGAACCCATTCCATCCCTTTTCTAGCAATGGGCAACGTTTGCACGAACCTGGCACATTTACGACTGCACCTGGCAGAACCCTTTTGAGTCCGCTGCACTGGTCAAAACACATCTGATGGGGCTGCACAAGCCCATATACCATCCCATGAGTGAGTAGAAACCATAGTTGTAGCCACCGGCATTAGTTTTAAGTGAGAAATGTGTTTAAATCCGTCGTGGGTGAATGTTTACGTGCCGCCTCGTTACATCACAAACTACGACCGGCGTGTTGTGTTTTTGTTGCTGCTGCTCCCACACCATTCGAAATGGTAATTATAAAAGTGCAGCCGTAGGCCAATTGATGACATCTCTGATGCGCGCTCTGTTCTTCTAGGTTAAGCAAGTCCCACCTTCCGATGTATAAACCCAAATCCGTATTTGCAGATGATTGCGGGGACCATGTGGTGCTGATCAATACCAAGGAAATTGCACTGCCCGGCGACGAGTGGATCAAGCGTGTCTACTTCCATCACACGGGCTATCCCGGTGGTGCTTCCTGGACCCTGGCCTGGCAGCTGCACGAAAAGGATCCCACGATGGTCATGAAGAAGGCCGTGTACAACTCGATGCATGGCAATCTGCAGCGCAGACACACAATGCAGCGATTGCATCTGTTCTCCGGGGACTCGGTGCCCGATGAGATTCTGCAGAATGTCACAAATCAGATACGCACGCCCCGCACCGTGCCCCAGCGACTCGATCATATTGATAAGGAGACGCTGGAGAACTTCCCCGCCATTATGGATTATCCCAAGGACTACATTTTGCGTTGATTGTTGTTAAAATATAGTAATTAAGCGAGAATACATTTTAAACACAAAACATACGTTGTGTTATGAGGGTCTATTCGTTGAGCTTGACAACTTTCCACCATACAAATTTATTGTTAGTGGGCTGTGGACTAGGTGTCGACTCTGTGCTGATGACATTTCACTCTTTGGCATAATGGCAAGGCTTTGATTTCAGTGTTAATGTTAATCGAATGGTTAAAGAGCAACAAGTGGCCTAATGGCGTTAAATTTAAATCCCACTTGCGTTTTAAGCTTTTATTTTTCGTTGAAACTTATTCGTGCAAGCCTTTACAAGCCAATATAAAGGAGTCCTAAGAGGTAGCCAGTATTCAGCAAATGAATGCATCTATCGGATAAAATTATATGTTCGGTGCTAAAATAACGAACCAGCTAGTAGTATTGAAGCGAATATCAAAATCGAGAAATATGATTTACGATCATGAAGAGCGAACGCTTAACCCATTGTGGACCAGTGGGTATTTCAGTTTACGCAGGATTATTATGAAACTTGAAAAATGTTTAATGCATTTCAGTTGAGAGATATTGTGGTAAAGTTATGTTTCAAACAAAGAGAAAGGGTGGGTATCCAATAAGAATTCACAAACAGTACTATTTGCCGCATTTTAACTCAAGTTGTTTACCCATATAAATAGAGGGGGCTTAATTGGGTTAAGCACGTAAACACCAAGGCGACCGGCAGTGAATTGCAAAAATCAAAACAAAAATCAAATTGCCGACGCCTACTCATTGTTCATCTCCAAACATATATAAGATATCAGAGGTTTGATTGTCATCATATACTATATACAAACAGCACACATCTGGAGTGGTTTTTCCCTTCGCATTTCTGTAATCTCTAACAAATCGTTATTTATTTTGTGATTAGCTTATCGGCGTGCAAGACACTCAAACTGAACGCTTTCTCCCCTCTGTTCTGTTTTTGCAGTCTCCAAACGCGGCTTTTGCACGACACACCTACAGCAGCTCCAGCGGCCGCTACACCAAACACAACTTTGTCCAATTTATCAACTCCAAAAACGCAACATGGGCCGCCTGGGTACAGTGGATCCGAGCTCCTACTCGCAGCCGGATTTGATTACCACGGAGCACAGTGTGCTCAACTGGAAGGTGGACTTTGCAGCCACCAAGCTGCAGGGCAGTGTGGTGCACCGCTTCAATGTGCTGTCCAGCAATTTGGAGAAGATTGTGAGTAGCAGGGCAAGGAAATGGCAGCCATTGGAATCTATTTTAATTGCATTCTTTGGCAGCTCCTGGATGTGCGCGACATTAATGTGACGAATGCCACGTTGCTGGCTGGAGGCAGTGAGCTGCCCATCAACTACTTCATCAGCGATCCCGTGAATGATATTGGACAAAAGCTAACACTGGAGTTGCCAGCCGGCACGGCTAAGGGCAGGTGAGCGAGCGATTCGATAAGCTAATCTTTATGGCACTTCGTAAATAATCCAACACTCTGCCTTTACTCTGCGTTCGTGTGAGTAGCTTGAATGTTCGCATCGATTACGAGACCTCAAGCAGTGCCAGCGGCCTGCAGTGGCTGAATCCCACACAGACACTGGGCAAGCAGCATCCGTACATGTTCTCGCAGTGTCAGGCGATACACGCACGTTCGGTGGTGCCCTGCCAAGATACGCCAGCGGTGAAGTTCACCTACGATGCGGTGATTGAGCATCCCACCGAGCTGACGGCGCTGATGAGCGCCATCATTGACAAGAAGCAGCCCGGCAAGACACACTTCAAGCAGGAGGTGCCCATACCCGCCTATCTGGTGGCGATTGCCATTGGCAGGCTGGTCTCCCGTCCGCTCGGCGAGAACTCCAACGTGTGGGCCGAAGAGGCCATTGTGGATGCCTGTGCCGAGGAGTTCTCTGAAACGGCCACCATGCTGAAGACCGCCTCGGATCTGTGCGGTCCGTATGTGTGGAAGCAATACGACTTGCTGGTGATGCCACCATCATTCCCCTTCGGTGGTATGGAGAACCCCTGTCTCACCTTTGTTACACCCACGCTGCTGGCGGGCGACAAATCGCTGGCCGATGTTGTGGCCCATGAGATTGCCCACAGCTGGACGGGCAATTTGGTGACCAACAAGAACTTTGAGCACTTTTGGCTGAACGAAGGCTTCACCGTGTTCGTCGAGTCCAAGATTGTGGGACGCATGCAGGGTGCCAAGGAGCTGGACTTTAAGATGCTCAGCAATCTGACGGATCTACAGGAGTGTGTGAGTAACAGCAGTCATCTATAAATCTTCTCGAAATCCCACTAATTTCGCATTTCCTTCTGGCAGTTGCGCACTCAACTCTCTGGCACACCCGAGCTGACCAAACTGGTGGTGGATCTATCCAATTGTGGGCCCGATGATGCCTTCTCCTCTGTGCCTTACATCAAGGGCTCCACATTCCTGCGCTATCTGGAGGATTTGCTGGGTGGACCAACTGTCTTTGAGCCTTTCCTCCGCGATTACCTGAAGAAATATGCCTACAAATCGATCGAAACCAACGACTTCAAGAGTGCCTTGTACGACTACTTCAAGGATACGGAGCAAAAGGATCAACTGAGCGTCGTGGACTGGGATCTGTGGCTGACCAGCGAGGGCATGCCACCCATTTTACCCAAGTAGGGATAAGCTTGGGCTATATTTAAGAGAGAGTTCCTTAACCAAAGCGGTAATTATTCTTGCAGATTCGATGAATCCCTGTCGAATGTCACCACGGGTCTGGCCAAACTGTGGAGCAATGAGACTGTCTCCAAACTGTCAGACAACAGCGACATCAAGCAGACCATTTCCATCCATCAACTGATTGACTTTTTGGGCAAACTGATCGAATCGAAGGACATTGTCGACCTGAACGAGGACAAGATTGAACTGCTCGAGTCCACCTACAAGCTAAAGCAGTCCAAGAACGCCGAAGTACGTTTCCGCCTGAATCGTTTGATCATTCGTGCCCGCCTGCTCGGCCGTCTGGAAGAGATCATTGAATTTGCCAACTCGAATTTCCGCATGAAATTCTGCCGCCCCATCTACCGCGATTTGGCTGCCTGGCCCGAGGCCAAGCCGGCGGCTATTCGCAACTTTGTCAAAGTCAAGGATCAAATGATGACCGTCTGCTCGCACACCATCGAAAAGGACTTGGGATTAAAGACAATTTAGGTCTGACTTTTTTGAAGTGTGCATTTGTCGAGATTTTTTAATGAAAAATTAAATTTTTTTGTGTATTCTCGTAGTCTGATTTTTTCTTGAGTTTAATCTGGTGCTCCTTGGGCTGTCCGTACTTCTTGGAGCACTTCAGATGCTCCAGTGGCAAAGGAAGAACCAAATGGATCGATTGGAAACAAATTTAAACTTCAATTCGGCACTCAAAATACGTGAAAAAAAACAGCAGACAAGGCCGTGCGGTTGAATGCCAGTGTTTATTTTATAATTCTTGTTGAGGGTTCTCCTGGCCGTATGCTGTGTCCTGGCCCTGTGCTGCGTCTTGACCCTGTGGTTCCTCTTATCCCTGTGAGAAAGTCCTTGTCCTTCCTCCTGACCGTTCCCGAATCGCATGCCCACCGGCAGCGGTAATCGTCTATTATTGGGATAATGCGGAGATTCGAACATATTTCTAGTCGACACCCCAAATTTCTCAAATAGATTGAAGGTCAGGTTCATTCTCGACCGCAATTCGCGTATTTTGGCAATTCTTCTTCACGCGCGAGATAATGGTTTCCCAACCGTCACGCGTTTGGTTCATCTTCGCTAAACGAAATGTCCAAAAATATGAATAAAATAACAGATTTAGTTATATTTTACAGGACCATTTGCTCAAGGTTTGTCCTTTTATAAAAATCCACAGACTTCTCCTCGCTTGAGCCTAACTTTTTCTGTAAGCTGCTATTAGTTTGCCAAAAAAAATGAGTCGCCGATTCGAAGTCATAGATGACATAGAAAAAGGCGCCGGTATCGTTCGATACAATTTCATGTATTTTAAATTTGTGTGTCCTATGGTCCAGTTCCAGTTCAACGGTATGTAGTTTCTATGTAGCTGAAATGTAGAAAGACAAAGTTAGTAGACATTTTGGTGGGTGCATAAAACATTATTTTATAAACAAATCAATTAAGGAGAGTCTTAGCAATGATTGTGTCTTGTAAAGAATTTATTGACGAATCTGATACAATTATAATTTCGGGGCTGAGAGTCTTAGCTTATTAGTAAAACATGATTTGTTATGTGCATACTTTCGTAAAATGGAAATGTATATTTCGGCATATTTCTGTTGGTATATTACATCGATAAATCCGTGGTCACACTGTCTATTGTGTACAAACAAAATTTTAAAATCAATTTTTTCGTTTTTGCGTCAAAAATATGCACCGTTCACATCCGAGTACCACGCGACGGAAGCATTTGATTAAGGAAATGATGGAGGATGACTATGAGCTGCCCACAGAGCAGCAGCAGATCGTGCGCGTCGTCAGCAGTCGCGGCAACAATCTCCACGAGGTGGAACCAGCAACGCCAGAGTCGGAGAACTTTCTGGGTATGATAACTGGGATAATCCTCTAAAGAAACCATGTCTAACGTACATTTTAATCTCAATTCTAGTGTCTATGCCTAACAAATATCGCAAAAACATGTGGGTAAAGCGCGGCGACTTTTTGCTGGTGGAGCCCATCGAGGAGGGCGACAAAGTCAAAGCGGAAATCTCCAAAATTCTCACCAACGACCACGTCAAGGAGTACACCAAGGCGGGCATATGGCCGGAAAGATTTGCCAAGAATCCCCCACAGGCGGCCAAAACACAAAACGACGATGAGGATTCCGATTTTGAGGATGATCTAACGCCGAATACAAACCGTCCCGTGCAGGAATCCGCTGAAGAGGATGACGACGAGGATGAGGAGACTGAGAGCAGCGAGGATGAAGACTGACACGAGTTCACTAGTGCATTGTGGAGGTGCATTACAAAATTTTAGCTTTGTATATTTTCAATTTTTCGTTTTCTTTTTCCTTTTTTACCATCTTTGAAAATGTAACAAAATAATTAGATGGTCAACTACGAATTAATTGCTGTTGATGTTGTTGTTGTTGCTGCTGGTGGCTGCTGCTAGTCCTAAATGTGTGTTAAATCAATTGAAAATGGTTGCAAAAGCTACATCAAAGCCTAAACGATTAATTAATGCGCGCTGAGATCGATTCTTAAAGCGTTTTTTATTCACTGGGATTTCCTTTTTGGGTGGCTCTGGCTGCTGGCTTTATTTATGCATCCGCCTCCACAGACTCATCGTGCTCCTTTTGCTCGCCATCGTCCGGCTCCAGCTGCTTGAACGGAGGCAACGCCTCGATCTTCGACTCCAGCGCCAGTGTCGATGGTCGCGGTTTGGTGAAGGGAAAGTTCGCCAGATCCTCCATCTGTGGCGTGTGCACGGCAATCAGATCGGTTTGCGTCGAGCTGCAGTCACGCTGCTCTGGCTGCACCTGCTCCTGGCTCTCTGCTTCGGGCTGTCTAATGAGCGCATCCTGTGGCAAATTACACACCATTGTCAGGCAGTTGACAATCGTCCCGATCGAGCTCTGCAGCTGCTGCACTTGGTCCGTCAGCATGGTGCAACGTTGCGCCAGATCGTTGACCACAGAGGCCGAGTTCTGATCAAGACTCACGGGCGCAGAGCCACCGCCACCAGCACTGACATCCTCGCACGAAACTGTGGCCTGTACGGGAACGATTGCTGCTGTGGCAGCCTTTGGATCCACATGCATGCTAGACACCTTCTTCCACAGCGCATTGATGGCCTGCATCTGCAGCTGCTGAATCTTTCGCTCATTCTCCAGCTGCGCCTTGGTCAGTCGCATGTCTTTGCTGAGTTGTCTGTATAAAAAGAAGGATTAGCCTACACTCAAGGACGCAGTCTGTGGACTTACTCAATGTACTCCTGCACGCGGCGTCGCTGCAGCTTCTCGGCAATGTCCGGATTGTGTTTCTTGCGCGTATAATAGCCACGCCACATTTTCTGTATAATAACCGCAGAGGACTCTGTCATGTGCTCGATCAAACGATCCGCCGCACAGTTCTGACTGCTGTTGTCCACCAGCTGCTGCTGTTGCTGCTGCTGATTCCTCTGCGCTGCCATCTTCCTAATGGTCGTCAACTTGTCAATGTTAATCTGTTCATCATCATCCGTGCTGTCCGTCGTTGTCGAAGTCATATGCTGCTGCTGCTGCACTCTGTCTGTTGTTCTGGCTGCCACCTTGCGTGGACTGCTCGTGGGACTCTGTGTGCGCTTCAGCAGTGGACTACGCACACGCGGCAAGTTCAATTTGTTGTCTGTGCAGTGAATAAAATCAAATAAATAAATAAAATCCCGTGTAACAATAGAGATTAGTCATGCTTGGGCTGCCTGGCTACCTTTGTTTTTGTTGATTTTCGTTTTGTGCAGCTGCGAATTGAGCGCACTGACCGTCACACGTTGGGCCACGGCAGCGGGACAGACATCCGGACTCATTAGAGTCTCCGGCACGGGCACCATTTTCGAAGCAGCAGCCAAAGGGCCACCCGCAGGCGGTTGACTGAGGAATGTTTGATCTGTTTTTGGAGGGGAAATTCATGCCATAAGTGATGGTTAGAATGGATGGACAATTACGCACCATTATAGGGATTTGGCGTTATGTTGCGAGGCGTTGATTCCGTCGAATTGTAGGTCTTGGTGGTCACGCTGCTGGACATGCCGCTGCCTGCGAGCGAGTAGTCGCCATCGTTCTTGATGTTCTCAATCAGCGAAATGCTCATCTGCAGCGAATGATTGACGGAGCCATTGTCGTTGATGCTGCTATTGCTGCTGCTGTTGCCATGATAACTATTCACCATGGACTCGGGCGAGCCTTGGCGGCCACTCAAGCGAGAGACTGCAAAAGGGAAGCAGATGAGTAATCAATAAACATCCCAAAAGCCGAAAGACTTGCACCCACATCTTGGTGACTGTATGCGACTGGTGGGCTTTCTGCGATGCGATGAGGGTGAAGTGCTCGCGGAGCTATTCGCATTGTCCATGATCTCCTCCTGCAGCTGGCGCTGATGATGCTGCGCCTTGCTTAGGATTAGGCGCAGCTTGCGATCGTCTTCGTTCTCCAGGGCCTTGCCCACCAGTGGACAGAAGGTGCTCAGATGCTTGGCCAGCGCGGGCTGCTCGCCCACACGGAACTGGCGACCACGCCCCTGGCTGTACAGCCACTCGGCCTTGAGGCTCTCGATGGGATCCACCGCATAGCCATCAATGCACTTGAGGCTCATGCACCAGTTCAGCACAAAAGGCCGATAATCAAAGCCGCTAAAAGGGCAGACAGTCAATAAAAGGGATCGCGAGGAGAATCGTTACTTACTCCACGCTATTGGGACCCAGGGACATGTTCACACAGCCATTATCGTTGATGGAGAGACTGAGGAGATTGCTCAGATGCGACAGCGTGCAGATCTCGTTCAAGTCATCGATGTTGTTCTTGGCCAGCGTCAGTGTTTCCAGGGAGGTGGGCAAGTACTTGTCGCATTGCCGCAGATGCGTCAGACGATTGCCGTGCAGGTAGAGCTCCTTGAGATTGCCCAAATACGAGATGTCCGATATGCTGGTGATGCTGTTCTCCGCCAGATTAAGGCACTCCAACGCCACATTCGTGCTTAGATGTTCGATGGTCTTGATGTTGTTGCCCTCCAAATTGAGCACTCGCAGGTGCAGGCAATCCTTGAGGCCCTCAATCGAGAGAATGCCATTGAAGGAGAGGTTCAGTTCGCGCAGACAGTGCAGCCGACAGACGCCATACATACGCAGCAATTGGTTCTTCGCCAGCGACAGCTGAAGTGAACAAAAAAACATTATTTATATAGGCGAAAATTCAGTTTTTAAATGGGAACTATTATAGGAACCGTTTCGATCTTGAGGTACGAGTCAATGTTGTCGATTTTCTGCAGCTCATTCTCGTCCAGTATCAGCTTGCGTATGTTGTGTGCATCCTCCTGCTTGGGCACCTTCTTGAGCTTTTGTTTGGAGAGGTTCAGGGTCTGCTTCTCGCTGCAGCCGCCTTCGTCACCTGCCAAACAGAGCGAGGAGTGGTGAGGGGTAGACAGAAAGTCACACAAATGTATACACAATGTAAAGTAATTTGATGACTTCATCGGGGTTAGTCCTGGTTAGTGGTCTGGGGGCTGTGGAGCTTCGCGCAGGTGCGACACCAAGGCCCCCACTCCACGGCCCAAAAGCAGACTGCAAATTTCGATGCAATGAAGCGAGCAACCAGACAGCTGCTTGGCTGCTTCCCCGCTCGAATAGCAAGGAAAATTCCTTTACTCTTTTCCAGCTTACCGCTCATGGTGGCTAGCTGGTGGCACACTTAAAATTCCAGCAGTTGTTACCGCACGTCGCTGCCAGCCAATTGGAGTGGCGTCGTCCACCACGAAAAATCAATGTTGCGGAATGCAGCGTCTCTCCTTCCTCTCAGACCCAGAGTTTCTGCTCTTTCTGTGCCCTTTGTGTATGCTTTGGATAATGATGTGTAGTCTTTAGGAGCTTATGCTACCTGGTTCGTGTGCTGCCATGGTCATTAATTTATTTACTTTACTTTTTTTAATTTTTTACTTTTGCCGCTGCGCCTGTCAGTGTGACCGCGCATTTATTCATTAAATATACTTTAAGACGTTTGGGTATATACCGAATATACTTTTGACTGTAAAAATATACCGCAACATATACTGTGAAGAAAAATGAACTAAGCCTCTGTAAATCCGCTCTAGTTAAACAGGGGAGAAATTTGAACGTCGCCAAAGACTAGATCAATAAAATCTATCCATCCAAAATAACACGATCTCTCCCATATGAACTGCTGTAAAACAAATGTTATCGATGTATGCTATTGCTAATCGATAGCGATGTATGCTATTGCTAATCGATAGTAGCGTGTTAGCTTCCCTGATCCCGCCATTATGCCTGTTTGGCGCTTTTATTGTGCACAAGTGTATATAAAATATATTAAACCAACAACTCTTAACAAATAAAATAAAGAAATGACTGGAGGCATTGTTAAAGTTTGTTTTGGTCCATGTTATCGACGTTCTCGCACACCTCTTTGACGAGAAGCGGCACCAACTCCAGCGACTCCACCAAAGCCATCTCGTCACGAAGATTTCGAATGTACATTCTTTGGATCTGACGGATCATGGGACTAATGACTGATTCGCTCACTATATTATCTACAGTGTGACTGTAATCAACTTGCTGTACTTTATCCAGGTCTGCTCGTGCTCTTGTGTATGCATTCTCCCACATTTTCTTCGACTTGTAAGTTTTGTCATGTGTACACTGTTTCGGATTCAATATCCCCTCCTTCTTAGAATCGTTGGACAGTTCCATAATCACCGCCTGTAATTCCAATTCGTTGCTCACCAGGGAACGCAGTTCGTCGGCGTTCTTCACACTGATCACAGTCGATGCCGTGGACGTGGACTCCGTGGACAGGTACTCGTGTTTGCATGCCATCTTGGAGCTGTGCTTTTCGCAGCATTTGGGGGAACATCTTACCTCAGCTTTATCGGCAATGTGTGAGGGTTGGCAATCGTCAGCGTTCGTAAAAAGTTGTTGCTGCACCAGGCGACTGCTGGACCGAGCACGTGGCACAGGGGCGACAGTGGCCTTAGTGCAGTTTCGGCTATGAGGTGTTTTAATCCGGCTTGAACTACTCTCTGCATGCTCTTGAGTAGCATTCGAGAACGGCTGCTTTTGCAAATTGGAATGCAACTGCTGCTTTGCTGAATTGCAATAAGATGACTCCAGATGCTCCCGCGGTGGCTGCTGCTTCAAGTGATCATTCGGAGTCTTCTGTATAGGAGCCTCAAACGAATCCTTTTTAGCCGCTTTCTGGTACTCCGCCTGCAACAATTTGGGAGCAGTCTTACGAGTCGGAACATCAAATGGCTGCTGTGAAGGCTGCTTTATATCCTGAGCAAACCCATGAGAAGGTTTCTGTGTAGAATTCTGATAGACTTCTGGAGCCCGATGCTTAAAGTGATCAGAAGTAACCTGAGAAGAAACTCGATACTCCTCCGGTGGCTGTTTCTTCAATTGATCATGCGGAGACCTCGGAAGACAACCCTCAAGCGGATTCTTCTTTGGGTGATTATGAGACTCCTTGGGAGAATTTTTAACAATCTGCTGAGGATTCTTATCATAATTCAGATATGTAGGCTCCCAATGTTCCTCTGGGTTCTGTTTCAATGGATTTCTTTGAGAAGCCTGCGAGGGAGCACCCTCAAACGGATCCATCTTATGGAGATTTTGGTGCTTCGTCTGCTGACCTTCCTGCATCATCGAGGGAGAATTCATACGAGTCTGCTGATCATACGGTTGCTGCTGAGAATGCTGCCGCATATTCTGGGGATTTCCATGGTAAGTTTTCTTTGCATAATTATGATAAACAGACTCCTGATACTCTTGCGTGGGCTGCTGCTTTAAATGATCAACGGGAAATTTCGGAGGGGGATCTTGGTAGTCCGTCAGCTGATTTTTCTGTACCATGTGATGAGACTTCTCATGCGAAAGATTCTTTGTAAAACACTGATGACCAGGTACTCGATACTCCTGCAGTGGATGCTGCTTCAACTGATCATTAGGAGCCTTCTCAGGAAGTTGTTCACACGGACACTGCTTTGGAAGATGCTTCACCATCATTTTGGGAGCATTCTTATAATCGTCATGGGGCATCAGAACTCGATACAACAGCGGTGTCTGCTCCTTAAACTGATCATTCGGATCCGTTTTAGGGGAATTCTTGTACTCCATTTTCTTCTGAGGAGGATCGACATATTCGTCCGTCTTAGTGGGATTTTGGTATTCCGTCTGCTGGCATGGCTGCATCATCTTTACGTTATTCTTACGAGTCTGATCATCATGTGGCTGCTGTGAAGGCTGCTCATATCCAGACATTCGATACTGCTGTCGTGGTTGCTGCTTCAATTGATCATTAGCCAGCTTCCGAGGAAGCTCCTCATACGAACTATTCTTTTGGAGATTTTGCTCCATCATTTTGGAAGCATTCTTATGATCATTGTGTGGATGATGTGGGGGTTCCCTTATGTTCTGAGCATTTCCATGCGAAGATTTCTTTGCAGAATTCTCATAAGAAGACTCTCGATACTCCTGCGGTGGCTGCTGCTTCAACTGCTCAAGACGAACATTTGGGGAAGGACCGTCACAGGGATCATTCGGTTGGAGATTTTCTTGCATCATTTTGGAAGCATTATTATGATCATCACTTGGCATCTGTGGAGGCTGCTGCACATTCTGAGCCAGATTTATATACTGATCCTTCTTAGGAGGATTTTGGTACTCGGTTTGATGATTTTGCTGCATCATCTTTTGTGTATTCTTTCGAGTCTGATCATCATGTGGCTGCTGTGAAGGCTGCTCATATCCAGACATTCGAAACTGCTGTCGTGGTTGCTGCTTCAATTGATCATTAGCCAGCTTCCGAGGAAGCTCCTCATACGAACTATTCTTTTGGAGATTTTGCTCCATCATTTTGGAAGCATTCTTATGATCATTGTGTGGCTGATGTGGGGGTTCCCTTATGTTCTGAGCATTTCCATGCGAAGATTTCTTTGCAGAATTCTCATAAGCAGACTCTCGATACTCCTGCGGTGGCTGCTGCTTCAACTGATCATTAGGAGCCTTCTGAGGAAGTTGTTCACACGGATCCTGCTTTGGGAGATGCTTCAGCATCATTTTGGGAGCATTCTTATAATCATCATGTGGCATCAGAACCCGATCCATTATCGGTGTCTGTTCCTTAAACTGATCATTCAGATCCATTTTAGGGGAATTCTTGTACTCCATTTTCATCTGAGGAGGATCGACATATTCGTCCGTCTTAGTGGGATTTTGGTATTCCATCTGCTGGCATGGCTGCATCATCTTAGATCTGTTGTGAGGAGTCTGAGCAACATGGTACATCTGTGTGGTCGCCTTATCACCAAACATTCGATACTGTTNTGCTGCTTCAATTGATCATTAGCCAGCTTCCGAGGAAGCTCCTCATACGAACTATTCTTTTGGAGATTTTGCTCCATCATTTTGGAAGCATTCTTATGATCATTGTGTGGCTGATGTGGGGGTTCCCTTATGTTCTGAGCATTTCCATGCGAAGATTTCTTTGCAGAATTCTCATAAGCAGACTCTCGATACTCCTGCGGTGGCTGCTGCTTCAACTGATCATTAGGAGCCTTCTGAGGAAGTTGTTCACACGGATCCTGCTTTGGGAGATGCTTCAGCATCATTTTGGGAGCATTCTTATAATCATCATGTGGCATCAGAACCCGATCCATTATCGGTGTCTGTTCCTTAAACTGATCATTCAGATCCATTTTAGGGGAATTCTTGTACTCCATTTTCATCTGAGGAGGATCGACATATTCGTCCGTCTTAGTGGGATTTTGGTATTCCATCTGCTGGCATGGCTGCATCATCTTTTGTGTATTCTTACGAGTCTGATCATCATGTGGCTGCTGTGAAGGCTGCTCATATCCAGACATTCGATACTGCTGTCGTGGTTGCTGCTTCAATTGATCATTAGCCAGCTTCCGAGGAAGCTCCTCATACGAACTATTCTTTTGGAGATTTTGCTCCATCATTTTGGAAGCATTCTTATGATCATTGTGTGGCTGATGTGGGGGTTCCCTTATGTTCTGAGCATTTCCATGCGAAGATTTCTTTGCAGAATTCTCATAAGAAGACTCTCGATACTCCTGCTGTGGCTGCTGCTTCAACTGCTCAAGACGAACATTTGGGGAAGGACCGTCACAGGGATCATTCGGTTGGAGATTTTCTTGCATCATTTTTGAAGCATTATTATGATCATCACTTGGCATCTGTGGAGGCTGCTGCACATTCTGAGACAGATTTATATACTGATCCTTCTTAGGAGGATTTTGGTATTCCGTCTGCTGGCATGGCTGCATCATCTTTTGTGTATTCTTACGAGTCTGATCATCATGTGGCTGCTGTGAAGGCTGCTCATATCCAGACATTCGATACTGCTGTCGTGGTTGCTGCTTCAATTGATCATTAGCCAGCTTCCGAGGAAGCTCCTCATACGAACTATTCTTTTGGAGATTTTGCTCCATCATTTTGGAAGCATTCTTATGATCATTGTGTGGCTGATGTGGGGGTTCCCTTATGTTCTGAGCATTTCCATGCGAAGATTTCTTTGCAGAATTCTCATAAGCAGACTCTCGATACTCCTGCGGTGGCTGCTGCTTCAACTGATCATTAGGAGCCTTCTGAGGAAGTTGTTCACACGGATCCTGCTTTGGGAGATGCTTCAGCATCATTTTGGGAGCATTCTTATAATCATCATGTGGCATCAGAACCCGATCCATTATCGGTGTCTGTTCCTTAAACTGATCATTCAGATCCATTTTAGGGGAATTCTTGTACTCCATTTTCATCTGAGGAGGATCGACATATTCGTCCGTCTTAGTGGGATTTTGGTATTCCATCTGCTGGCATGGCTGCATCATCTTTTGTGTATTCTTACGAGTCTGATCATCATGTGGCTGCTGTGAAGGCTGCTCATATCCAGACATTCGATACTGCTGTCGTGGTTGATGCTTCAATTGATCATTTGCCAGCTTCCGAGGAAGTTCCTCATACGAACTATTCTTTTGGAGATTTTGCTCCATCATTTTGGAAGCATTCTTATGATCATTGTGTGGCTGATGTGGGGGTTCCCTTATGTTCTGAGCATTTCCATGCGAAGATTTCTTTGCAGAATTCTCATAAGAAGACTCTCGATACTCCTGCTGTGGCTGCTGCTTCAACTGCTCAAGACGAACATTTGGGGAAGGACCGTCACAGGGATCATTCGGTTGGAGATTTTCTTGCATCATTTTTGAAGCATTATTATGATCATCACTTGGCATCTGTGGAGGCTGCTGCACATTCTGAGACAGATTTATATACTGATCCTTCTTAGGAGGATTTTGGTATTCCGTCTGCTGGCATGGCTGCATCATCTTTTGTGTATTCTTACGAGTCTGATCATCATGTGGCTGCTGTGAAGGCTGCTCATATCCAGACATTCGATACTGCTGTCGTGGTTGATGCTTCAATTGATCATTTGCCAGCTTCCGAGGAAGTTCCTCATACGAACTATTCTTTTGGAGATTTTGCTCCATCATTTTTGAAGCATTCTTATTATCATTGTGTGGCTGATGTGGGGGTTCCCTTATGTTCTGAGCATTTCCATGCGAAGATTTCTTTGCAGAATTCTCATAAGCAGACTCTCGATACTCCTGCGGTGGCTGCTGCTTCAACTGATCATTAGCCAGCTTCCGAGGAAGCTCCTCATACGAACTATTCTTTTGGAGATTTTGCTCCATCATTTTGGAAGCATTCTTATGATCATTGTGTGGCTGATGTGGGGGTTCCCTTATGTTCTGAGCATTTCCATGCGAAGATTTCTTTGCAGAATTCTCATAAGCAGACTCTCGATACTCCTGCGGTGGCTGCTGCTTCAACTGATCATTAGGAGCCTTCTGAGGAAGTTGTTCACACGGATCCTGCTTTGGGAGATGCTTCAGCATCATTTTGGGAGCATTCTTATAATCATCATGTGGCATCAGAACCCGATCCATTATCGGTGTCTGTTCCTTAAACTGATCATTCAGATCCATTTTAGGGGAATTCTTGTACTCCATTTTCATCTGAGGAGGATCGACATATTCGTCCGTCTTAGTGGGATTTTGGTATTCCATCTGCTGGCATGGCTGCATCATCTTTTGTGTATTCTTACGAGTCTGATCATCATGTGGCTGCTGTGAAGGCTGCTCATATCCAGACATTCGATACTGCTGTCGTGGTTGATGCTTCAATTGATCATTTGCCAGCTTCCGAGGAAGTTCCTCATACGAACTATTCTTTTGGAGATTTTGCTCCATCATTTTGGAAGCATTCTTATGATCATTGTGTGGCTGATGTGGGGGTTCCCTTATGTTCTGAGCATTTCCATGCGAAGATTTCTTTGAAGAATTCTCATAAGAAGACTCTCGATACTCCTGCGGTGGCTGCTGCTTCAACTGCTCAAGACGAACATTTGGGGAAGGACCGTCACAGGGATCATTCGGTTGGAGATTTTCTTGTATCATTTTGGAAGCATTCTTATGATCATCACTTGGCATCTGTGGAGGCTTGCCCATATCCTGAGGTATCCCATGCGAAGGTTTCTTTGTTGAATTCTCATAAGCAGGCATCCGATACTTCTGTGGTGGCTGCTCCTTCCATTGATCTTGAAGCGGCTTCTGCGCCAGATCTATATACTGATCCTTCTTAGGAGGATTTTGGTACACCGTTTGATGATTTTGCTCTTTTTGTGTATTCTTACGAGTCTGATCATCATGCGGAGGCTGATGTAGAGGCTCTCTCATATTCTCAGGATACTCAGGAACCCGATACTGCTGCTGCTTCAATAGATCTTGAGGCGGTTTACCTGACTGATGCTGGGGCACAATCTGATATCGACCCGGATATCGATGCTTCTGCTGATGGGAAGCACTCTCATAATTCTTGTACTCTTGAGGATGATTCTCCTCATGCTCCTGCTGATAATGTGTCTGTAGTGGGTGCAACTCGGCTTTTTGATAGATGCGCTGCATTAGTGCAGATCTTTGATTTGTTTTCAGCCCGCTGATCTGGTCCATGATGGAAATCGGCTGATGTTGCCGTTCTGGAGGCTTCTTTTTAGGGCATTCCAGTGTCTGTAAACTGGTAGGATTTAAAATCTGACGGATCTTCTCCGGTAGCACGCTTTTTCCCTGTTGTGGCATTTCCTCTTCTTGCTTACGGGAATCCGAGCGATAGCTGTGGCCTTGTCTGTCCATCAAGCGAGAGCAAATTTTGTATATTTCAATCGTTTCGAGTTTGTTTGAGTATATGGAAAGATGTGACATCACCTACACAAAGTGATGACTTTAATGAAAAGGTTACTTTTCCAACAAAAAGTGAACGAAGGGGATGAGTCTAATATATTAAAAGAAAAGCTTTGTGAACAAGCGGAAACGTTGTGAGCCGCGTTAAGAGTAATTGTGTGGTGTGCTCTACGAAATCTCCATAAACTTTATGTCAATGTTAACTCTTGCACTTCCTTTATCCTCTTTTCCACTTAATGAACTATTTCATTTGAATTTTCTGTTGTATTTAAACTATTCTGATCTATACTCGGATATATTGGCTACAGAAGACGGGGACCCCTTCTAGTGATTTAGAATGATTTCTACCGGCTTTTGGTATTATTTTTATTGAATGCAATACTTAAAAAATATAAACAAAGGTCACATCGAATCAAAAGTGAATTTAAACGTTGTTAGGCTCTCCTCTGTTCCATCTGGACGTTGTCCTTGTAAATCTGACCGACAAGGTGCGGCACCTTCTCCAGATACTGCATCAGATGCATCTCATCCTGCATGAGGGTCATATACTTGTTGTGTATCTTCATGATCATGGGCGTGATGACTTTGCAGTTGACTAAATCATCTACGCTCACACAGCATTTCTTGCTATGGTTTTCGCAGTTTGTCGAACCCATAGTTGAATCCGTGGTGGATTCTTTATCCTTGCTAAGAGGCGCATTAACTATGGCCAAACTCTTGGACCCTGGTTGGCTGTCATCTGTGTGCGAACTCGAGACTGAACGTGTGGAGACTGCCTCTTCCAGGCTATTGATTGGAGTGGCATTAACTGTTCCTGAGAGTTGATTGCGCCTCGAGGCTTGTTCACTGCGCACCGATTGCATTTCCAACTCTTCTCGCACCATGGATCGCAGCTCCTCGCCGGTCTTTGCACTGATCGAAGTCGATACCGTGAAGCCACTGGCCGTGGAACATCGATCCTGCTCGTCAATGGATAGCTTCTGTTTGGGTTTGTATTTGTCCTTTTCGCAGCCTTTATTCTGTACGCAATCCATGCACTTGCGGTTCGGTTTTGTGTTCTTAGCCTCGTTGGAAATATGATGATTAGAATTATCCTCAGGCGTTTCACTCAAGCAGGAGAATGGAGGAAAGTCTGAATTCTGCTGAGAATTTGTCTGTGATTCCAACTGCAAGTTAGGAGGGGAATGTTGCAGTGGCTGTGGCTGCTCCTGACACGTTTGTCGAGTACGATTCTGTGTCGTATCCTGTTGAGGCGCATAATCCATAAACTTGTACGTCGGGCAACACGGCAATGGGATCTCTTTAGCTTTCGATGAGCCTTTGCTAGGCGATGCCTTATTCTGGCCCTGATTTATCTTCTGCTGGATATATGAATCATAGGAATCATTCTCGTTCGTATTGCTCAAGCGGGAGAACTGAGTAGAGCCTGCCCTCTCCTGATATGTTTGCTTCTGCTGAGGATTCTTTTGTACCTCCAGCTGGAAGTGAAGATGCGAATGCTGCCGATTCGGCTCCTGTGGCTGCTCCTGATACTGTGTCTTTGTCGATGTATGCATGGGGGCATACTCTGCATACTCCATATTTTTGTGGACTTCTTTAGCTTTGAAAATGTTATTGCTCATCAATGCTAGATTCTGGCTTTGATATGACTCTTGCTGCTTAATATCCATGGCATTATCTTTCTGCGCATTCTTCTCTTCCACAGCTTTTGACCTTTCGCAAAAATATTCCTTCACCTGCCACACCACACTCTCAGGCAGTTTACCATACAACGATTGCAATTCAATCTCGTCGCGGGCCAAGCAACGCAACTCGTCCCGCACCATGGAACGCAGATCGTCGCCGCTCTTCACACTGATCACAGTCGATGCAGTGGAGCTATTCTCGCCATTAGACAACATGCATTCATTGCAAAACTTTTTTTTTACCATGTGGCAGCCTGAACCGGAGGGAGATTCTGCTTCGAAATTCTTCTTTGCTGCGTGCTCAGCTGGAAGCTCCCCAGCATTCTCTCTGGCCCAACCTTCTACAAGGGGAACACTGTACTGGCTTGGACCACCTTGTGTCTGCTTTTGAGACATATTCTGAGAAGAATTCGAGGAATATGTTTGCTGCATCGGTTCGGGCTGCTGTTTTGCAGGCCTCCCAAACTCATTCAGATAATTCTGATACGACTCTTGAGGTGAAATCTGCCCTTTGGTGGCATATTCCATGTGCTCGCATGGTGTATTTCTTTCTACTTCCATAATATAATCATCGATTTCCATGTCGGATATGTTATTATAGGACAGGGGCAGGTTGTACACTGAGACGTCTTTAGTTGTGGCACAACGCTGAGTCGAATTATGATACGAATCTTGTCCATACTGCTGCTTGGGTTGAGTCTGATACGAATTATGTTCCGGCATAAATTCCATGTACTTATTGTAAGAAGTATTGTCATCAGATCCACTGAAATTATCTGCGAAATTCTCCTCCGCCGAAGGTTGGCCAAAGGCTGTGTTGGAGTACTCTGCAGAAAGATAAAATTGCATAGAAGAGCAAATGGAAATGGAAGATCCTTTCTTACCTTTGGAGCTGGCTCTGCTTGGAGTTGCTTTCATCTGGCTGTGATAATGGTGCGATTGCTCTTGAGGATGTTTCGGATACGAAGTCTGAAGATACTGCGGCTGTGGCTGCTGCTGCACCATGGGAGGACACTGGTATTTCTGATCCAAATACTGTGTCTGCTGCTGCTGTTGATGATTCTGATACATCTGCTGCTGCATGCCAGGCTTCTGGTTAAAGTTCTGTTGCAGCTGTTGAGGATGATATTCGCCTTGCTGATAGCTACGCTGCAAGCCAATTTCTCGCTCCTGAAGCTGCATCTGGTCCTGCATGTGCGGCTTCTGCTGCTGCTGTATTGGAGATCTCTTCTGTGGCCATTGTAGATTCTTCTGATCGCTTTGAGTCAACATCTCACGTACCATTCCTCGCACCTTGTGCTTGTCCTGTGGCGACATCCCCTCACCTACCATTGAGCCATTGCTGTGGCTTGTCCCATGAGGCATGTCTGGTTGCTGTAGGAATGAGCCAATCGGTTTTATCTTCCCACTCCTGGACTCGTAGAATTTCGTATTAAAGTCCGAGCAATATGTGAAGGCTCGCTTATGCATAGATCGGGTGGGAATTTGTCGATGTTTCAATCGATCTGAGTTTGTTTCAGTACATGAGGAGATGACTTTAATAACAAGCTTACTTTGCTACATAAAAGTCCCCAACGAAGGGATCAACAAGTTTTTCGGGGTAAGAAAACAATCGTTTTTGATATAGAAACATCGTGATGAGGATGTCTCTGTTATACATACACGAAGCCTTTTTGGCAGCGGTACACTCAAGCGTGAGCTTGAGCTGGATTGTGTAGCATTGTGTGACTTGCATTTTAATAGTTAGTATTTATTTTTTCGTATACGTGAAAGTGTTGTTTATGTATAAAAAACAGAGAATCTTCGTTTTTAGAGTCAGAGTGTGACTGTCTCCATATATCGTTCGAAGGATCGTGCTATAATCGTATGATCAGGCGCCAGATGCGTGTCCGCCATAATGGCCAGCCTGTACTTATCGCCGAAGCGGTGGAGATTCAGGGACAGGCAAGTCTTCGACTGTGGTGGCCTGAAGAGCAGCACATCCTGCACCCGCTGTCCCCAGGCCGACTGGAACTCTGCCGTGGACCCATAGATCTCGGTGATCGTAATGGGAAAATTGTAGGAGAAGAAGTTGATGAAGATCTTGGTGAGGACATGCGGCAGGAGCGCCGTTAGCATGCTGTACTTGGTCTGGCCGATGGAGGCCAAATAGATCATGATCTGCTGCCGCCTGATGCGCTCCACAATGCCGTGCAGGTGCCGGGCATGCTGCTCATCCGGCTGTCGCAGTGGCAGCTGCAGAAAGACCACACCCCCAATGTTCTCCGACTTGTCGCCCCGGCTATCGGTGAAGTAACCCTTGGAAATGGTCCTACAAGTGGTGTTCAAAAGCGAAGGCACAGGCGCTAAATGGGCAAAGGTATTCAAGTAATCGTGCACGGCGCCGGCCAGGCACGTGAGACTAAAGTCGGATTCACGCAGCTCATCGTTAAACCTGCCCCGATGTCGTTCCCGCAGCTGACTGCCATCGATGGATCGACTGAAGGAGACTATCTTCCTGCCCGCATAGGATTTCTGGTGCAGAATATTCAACTCCCTGGTGGGCTGCTCGAACAGCACCTCGTAGATGTTGCGTGGCGCCTTGAACAGCTCCCAGCAGATCTTGACCAGCTCCAGTTGGGCGTAGAGCAGCAGCGGCACATACAAATGCAGTCGGGCACAGTAGGTGGAGGTGTAGCTGGTCTGACCACGCAGCAGAACATCCCTCAGGGCCAGAGCCTCGCAGTAGAAGTGATACGGCAGCAGCAGTACATGGTTCAGATTGAGGCGCCACATGAAGCGCGTCCAGACCTTGGCCAGATTCGTGGGTTGCAGACTATTGTAAAGAGCCATTCGGGCCACCGCCCAGCTGAGATTTCGCTGCTCCAGCTCCCGGTTGAGCAGCAAGCGAATTGTCATCAGGCGCCCCATATCATTTCTAAAGCCACTGGAACGACGCTTCAGCTTGAGCAGCTTGGACCGACTGCGCCAGTAGCCCAGTGCCACATTCACCAGCACAATAAGGATCAGAGACAACAACTGACTGAGGGATCGCACCTGCACGCTGTTTGAGGCGCAATCGGGCGTCTCCAGGGACTCGAATTCGTAGATAAATTGCTGCCAGCGACAGATGACCAAGTGCAGGACATGATGCACCAGTCGACTGATGTGCTCCGGCTGCCGCACAAAGTGGGATAGCTGCTGCGATGGACTCTCGCCCAGACCACCATCATTGAGGGTCAACACGCTCTTCGTGTCGTTGTCGTGCAGCAGGAGCATCTCCCCCACATGCAGATCCTCCTCCTCGGCAATGATTAAGTGGTGCAGTTTGATCAGAATGTGGTAGGGCTGTGTGGTGTCGGAGCTGGGTATCACTATCACCTGCCATTGGGGCAGGTCCGAGGGTATATATTTGGTGGCCAACTCGCTGACATAATCCTGTATATTTGTCTCGTTGACGGCGCGTCCGCGGTACTTGTGGGTGCTGAGCAGCACGTGATTGTTGATGTTGAAGCCACTGCGAGGAACATACAAGATGATTAATAGTTTCTCTGTTGCATCGATCTATGGATCAACCGTTACCTGCTATCATTAACCCACGCATAGTGACCCCAGCAGGTTACCAGCTTCTGTCGCAGCTTGGGGAATCTCAGCATGCCCGTCTTGTCCCGCAGATCCGTCAGGTGTTGTGCATACGAACGTTTGATCTGCTCGAAGTCACAGGCACCCTCCACCTGCAGCAGAAAGTGAAAGATTCCAGCATTCTTTTGTGTGTCGATCAAAGTGCGAATCTTCTTGGACTTGGAGATGGTCAGGTTGGGATATTTGATGCTCAATATGTAGTTGACCAGCTCGTTGCCAAAGTGTGCACCTGCCAAAAACCACAAATGAAACAAATATAGCAGATAGCTGCATGGATTGGATTGGGGGGCAAACCTCGAGCCGTGCATTATCGCCAGCACCCGAAAGCTTATCTGCTCGCAATATTTTCATGAGTAATTCAGTTGGTCAAAGTTCGCTCGGGGCGCTCGTCTGGGTTCCGTCAAAGGTGCAACAGGTAATCTCTAATATTTATAAACAAAACACAAAAAAAGAAACACTCTTATCTGTGGGACTTTCTCTACGTTCTGTTCTGCTTTGTGCTGTTCTGCAACACTCTCTCTTTCGCGTGCAAGGGGAACCAACACTCTCTCTTTTTCTGCTAATTATATGGTAGAGCTCTAGCTATCCTTTGGCTGAGTGGAATCGGTTAATCAACCCATGCCTCGTTTATTTATATAGTCGGTCGTGTTTGATGTTCCATGATTTATATGGTGGGCGGGGGCAGAGTGTTCGTTCGTTCGATCTTTCGTTCTTATCAGTGTCGGTAGCGCGTGTCGAACTGATCAATCGATCATCTGGCACACTGGATCGTTGCTGGGGAGTTGTTAATAATGATGATGATGATCACGATCACTTACATAGAAACGATAAGAGCAGCAAAGGCATTAGCATCAGTGCCACCACGAAGCAGAGTAAGGTCTTTAATAATGATTTCAACTCTTGCCAGAAGCTTTTGTGGGAAGAAACAAAAGACTTGTAATCATTATCAATGACTATAAATATAGTGCCGGATTAGGTACCTTTCCATTTTTGGTTGATTTTGATGCTAACTAAAGACACAAGACGGATCGAAATAGAAGCTATACTTAGTATAGCTGCCTGGCTGCACTTTATATGTACGCGTACACTCGAGCTTTGATTCGCGTCTCTCGCTATATCGCTCTCTATCTCTATCTATCTCTCTACCGATTGGCACACGTTCGTTCGTGTTTACGTGCTGGGCACGACTGATCGATCGGCCAATACAATAGATTCGCATTGGCCTGCTCGTTCTAGCTTATCAGCCTAATTATTTTGCTCTCATTGAAGACAGTGTAGTGTAGTGCTACACAGTGGGAAAATAATCATTGATTGTCTACTATTGATTTATTTATTGAGGGACAAATGTTATTTGAAGCCGGTTCCCTGCATCTGGCTAAGTGCCTTTAGAGCCATCTGCAGCACTCTTCAAGCATTTCCTTGATTGGATTTCTATATCATAAGACCATGGCTCTGTGTGTTTTTAGTGTCAGAAAGAAACCTCCATTACTGAGGTCTTTAAAGAAAATGTGTAAAGACAGAACATTGTTAAGATTTTATCATGGTTGGCACCTGAAACGGTCGTTAAAAATGTAGGACTTTCTGTGTAAATTCTGCGTCTCTCCAGCTTATCTTATAGAATTATTATTGAATTGGGAAAACCGAAGTATTTCCTCTATGTTTCCAGTGTAATTGGCTTGCACTCTCTCTCTCTCGAGTCGTTTTCTCTTTCCACCATAAGCCACCAGCGAGCTAGTTCCGGGAACAGAGTCTGCAAAGGACGCACGCAGCGCTCTCTCCAGCCATCGACTTGGGGCTCTCACTGTTTCCCTTTCTCTCTGTGCATCTTGGCGCTCCGATGGCGCTCTCTCCGTTAGTTAGTCGTTTGCTGGCTTTCAAAGCTGTCGGTTCTCTGTTGGTTCTCTGTGGGTTTTTGTGTGCGTCGCGTCGGTGGTTTTTGGCGTCGTCCGTTTTTCGTTTTGTCGTTGGTTGCCCGTTATCCATTGCTACGTCGCTGTCGCTGTCGCTGTCGTCGCTGCTGCTGCTGCTTTGCATTGTACCCCCCTTCTTGCCCAGCTCCACACACCACCTCGCTGCTCTCTCTCCAGTTGTAGTTGTGTGTTTGTGTGTGGCCCAGCCTATCTCCGAGCCTCAGTCTCAGTCTCAGTCTGAGTGTGTGCGTGTGTGAGTAAGTGAGTTCATGGCAGTGTGAGTGCGAGTGCGACCGAGGAGCAAATGTTGAAAGGCAGCAGCACAGCATGGCCCGAAAAGACAGCGGAAAATGTGGAAAAGCGTTCATACTTTCGGTCGCACTGAGTAATGATATTTGTGTGCGCTGGAAATGAAAATTGTTTTGTGCTGCCATCAAAAATGAAAATGAAAATGCAAATGAAAAATTGAAAAATACCCCAAAAAAAAAAGAGAGAGAGAGAAGAGCAACGAAAAGCAAAAAAGCAAAGTGTTGGTGTATAAAAGAAATTTTGCAATTAAACGCAAACAAATTTGACTGTGAAAAGGGAAAACGTGTGAGCCAAAAAAGCGTTTTGTGCTTCATAAATATGCTGCAGCACACATACACAGCAGCAACAGCAACAGCAACAACAACAACAGTGCCACACTACACAAACTCCATTAGGACGGACAGGCGACGACAGTCCGTGTCCTGTGTCTGAAATCCTGGGCCCATGAATGAACCTGCCATCGCGAAACGCTGCTGACGAGGAAGAGCAAGAGCAAGAGCAGGCCAGCCTTGCCACTCACTTTCCCTCCCCCTACACACACACACATTGCGACACCCTCTCATACACACACACACACACACACATACAAGCGTACGTACACATGTGCAACATTTAAAAGCATATAAAAAGGCAATTTTCGAGAGATTTTTGCGCGACGAAAGGGAAATAGAAACTACGTGAACGCCACGCCGCGCCGCGCATTCGGAAATCAGGAACAAAAAAAACAGAAGCCAACACACACGCAGAGAGTCATATGTGTATGTATAGCGAATAA